ACTGAGCCCCAGCATGGAACACACATCCTGCCCAGCCTCATGTGGAACACTGGACAGGATGTAAGAGACACGAGGTCGTGAAGGACCTCAGTCACTTAGAAAAGGTTGACATAAACCAGGAAAAATTAAAATCTCACATTCTATTCTCTAACCAACAAAGTGAAATTAGCTGTCAATAACCATAGAACACCTAACATGTCCGCACATATCTGAATACAGTCATATGCTGTCATCTCACCGTCTGATGATCGAAAGCAACCACTGAATCCAGCTCCTATGCAGAGGAAGGGGAAGCAGATCAGTGCTTAAGCAGAAGCCTCTCAGAAGTTTCCTGATACGTTTTATAGCGACCATATCCATTAACAGGGAAATAACTGCAGCGTATTCATGCTACTCAAAAAATTAAATAGATAAACAGAGATACTTACAGCATGGATGACCAATCTCAAAGCCACAGTGAGTGAAAGGAGCCCGGCGTGCCCAAGTCTGTAGTTCAGCTTCACGGCTGTCTGATGTTCTGCATGATGCCAGCTGGGTCTGCGTCAACAGAAAGCAGACCAAGGGTTCCTGTGGGGATGTGGGGGCTTCTAGAAGGAGGCGATGACAGTATTCTGTGTGTTTGCTGGGGTGCTTGTTACACACAACCTACACACTCATATACACATACACTCATGCACACAGATGCACACACATACACACATAAATATAGACATATAGAGAAACAAAGAGGCACACACATGCACAATCATATACACACACTCATATATGCACACAGAGAGACACACACATACATACACACAGAAACACAGAGACAGAGGAACAAACACACACACACATGCACATGGAGAGAGAGACACACACAGAGAATTATAGACTTACAGAGAGACACAGACGCACACACATGTACACAGAAATACAGACTCAGGCACACACATACACACTATGTACACACACACACTCATATGCACACAGAGAGAGAGACACATACAAACGCAAACATAAATATAGACACAGGCATCCACATGCACACAGAGACACATGAACATATATACACACTCACATACACACAGAGAGACACACACACACATACATACATAAATATACACTTACCCAAAGAGAGACAGAGATGCACACACAGAGAGAAATGCACACAAACACCCACACACATATGTACACACAGAAATACCCACAGAAACATGTGCACACACATACACACTCTTACACACAGAGACACACACATAGATATACACTTACACAGACATACACACAGACACAAATATATACTCACACACACATAAACTCA